GGGGGGGGGGGGGGGGGGTTTCTATGGAGCAAGTCTCCCATTGCTCTCGCAAATCAGGTGGGTTGTATGCTATGTTGCTAGGACTCTCCGAAAATGTTGTTGGGTGCATGTCGGATCCGACACGGTGCAACACCATTTTGGAGAGTCCATGCGACATAGCTGAAGGAAACTAGTTGGAAAATGTCGCTTAATGGGGAATATATCTTCGTCTTTTCTATGTTATCTATTTCAGTGCAAAATCTATCCTTTTGTTTACTTGAGATATTATCATGAATATATTGTTGCCTAATTTGACATTAGGGAAGAAATGGTCGTGCATTTTTGTTTTCTCATGCAATGAACATAGTCGTGGGGCCAAAAGAGGATAGACAGCTAATGACGGGCCTCCATACAGTTGCTGATGTCCATTGCTGTGACTGTCGTGAGGTTCTTGGCTGGAAATACGAACGAGCTTATGAAGAGACGCAGAAGTACAAGGAAGGGAAATTCGTGCTTGAGAAGTCAAAGATTGTCAAGGATAACTGGTAGTGCACCGTGAAGTCTGAAAGTGTGTGGATGCTAATACATGTTAATCTTGTTAAATCAATTCTCATCAATTCAAAATGTCAATTCATTGCTCTGTAAATTTCTTATGTTTATTGTCCAATTGGATTGAACATCTTGAACAATCTTGTAAATATTTTATCTCCAAAATCATAATTTGTTAATATCACAAAATTATAATATCTGCTCCTTTTGGTTTCTGCTATAGACTGCATGAATTCTTTGTCATGGATAATACTTCAATACTCTTTTCTTTGCTTTTCTTGTTTACACTTGGAAAAGTCCATCAGATTGACATTGTGACATGATGAAAGATGTTTGATAATAACTCGGGAAACGTTGCAGCTATACTCGATAGATGTAGCAGTTGAAGTTCATATGAACTTGTTACAGAAGTTCAGTTGAACTATGGTTTCTTAGAAAGAATGTGTTTGGCTGTTAAGTGAGATTTGGCTCCTATATGTAGTTGGCTGTTTCTTGATGAATAGAGAGGAAGTGTGAAGGAAAACGAAGTGAATGTGGTTGCTTTGTCCACAGTTTAATTTCTACTACTTCTGTTTTCTATATTTGTTGCTGGAAAGGAAATGCCTCGCTGGGAATTTCTTTTCGAATGCAGATCATACGATGATTCACGTTCTTCAACTTGTTTACTTCACATAACTCATGTCTCTTTGACCTTTTAGTTACAACAACAACAACAACATACCCGGTATTATCCCACACCATGAGGTCTGGGGAGGGTAGTGTGTCCGCAGACCTTTTGGTTGTGACATCAGTACTATTTTCTATCGTGGTAAAACCAGTACAGCTTTTGAATATACAGCAAAACATCCCATAAACTCTTCATATACTAAAAAACTGAACACTAAAACTCGTAACTGAGAAAGAATACAGAACCTCTACAGTTCAAAAGCAAACACTTCTCCTTATGAAGTCTCACTTAATGAGCATGTATGCAAAAATCAAATCATTCTCATGATACTGCAGAAAGAATTGTTTGCATGATTTCGCGGCAATAACATATTCTAAGTGCAGCAGAGGATGTACTTCTTTCATGCATTTTCAATTTTCACGTGAAGATTACTAATAATACTGCACATTTGATGGCAAAATTTAAACCTGAAGCGTCGAGCTACTCTTTGTCATTCTTTCCAAATGAAAAGAAACAGAGAGAAGTTCAAGATAACAAAAAGACAATAGGATAAGTAGTTATTATACTGTGAACACCTGAAATATCCAAACCATGAGTATGTGCAAAAACCAAACTGAACAAGTTGCCAAAAAATGGTAAAAATTTGGCTTCGCCCGGACTCGAACCGGAGACCTTCAGTGTGTTAGACTGACGTGATAACCAACTACACCACGAAACCATTGTGAAAGTCAATTTGCTCATTAAAGTAAATATTATTATTTCTCCAGTGGATTTCTAGCAATCTTACGTTAATAACGTTGTGACCTAGTGTTCTCAAAATCTAATTTTGCAGCAAAAATGAAATTCTATTCCATTTAACTGATATTTCTAATTTTAAACACGATTTAACATTTCTAGTAAATTCTTCATGTATCAATAAACTGAACTCAAAAACTCGTAACCGAGAGAGAACACATAATTTCAACTTGAATTCATAGCTCAAAACACTTTTGCTTATGATAACTCACTTAAGAGCATGTATCATGTATGAAAACCATATAATTGCCTCCTTCTCAACTTTCTACGAACCTTAAATAAAGGTTGCTAATGGTGCTGCACATTTATTGGCACAAGTTCAACTTGAACCTCGTGACACTGATCTTTGTCATTTCAATCAGAGAAGCAAAAAGAAGTTCAACATAACAAAGGGAAAATGATACTCTTCCACATCATGTGAAGCCATTAGCTTATTATTTAGAAGTCTCCTGGAAACTCACTGAGCAAAATGTCTTCATCAGTGGTTTCGTGGTGTAGTTGGTTATCACGTCAGTCTAACACACTGAAGGTCTCCGGTTCGAGTCCGGGCGAAGCCAAATTGTTACCTATTTTTTGGCAACTTGTTCAGTTTGGTTTTTGCACATACTCATGGTTTGGATATTTCAGGTGTTCACAGTATAATAACTACTTATCCTACTGTCTTTTTTCTACATTTTTTTGTTTGTTTGTAGGATCTTTGCATAGATTATAGGACTGATTGTTATTGGTTTATTGCTTGTTTGGTTCTATAATGCCGAAACACAAAATAACTTGTGAACTGATAGGGGCTCCTTGGTAGTCTTTCTTCATCACTTCAAGTTATTCATGTCAAGCCCAGATGACTTAGTCTTATAGCAACTTAACGGCAAGCCGTGCACAAAGCATTTCGCATTCACGAGGGGCTGAGGAAAGGGCTACATCCCTAGGGGTGTGATGTCGACATCCTACCCTAATGCAAACATTAGTGGTTGCTTCCATGGCTCGAACACCTGATCTATAGACATGGAGACAACTTTACCGGTGCTCTAAGGCTTCCCTTCTACTTAGTCTTAGCAACTGCTGGACTAAATTGTTTGAGCAAGAAACTGGAGAAATTTGTGTACCGGACGGATGTTATGAAGGCGAAATTGGACGAGATGACTTTATTCCATGTTAATAAAGGCTTGAGGAAATTCACAAGCAGCATATATTGTTGTCTCTCCCTCCTAGCCCCAAAAAGCGCAGGTTGCTTTAATACTGAATGGTAAAACAGGCTTCTTTATAATTTGTATTTGAATTTGCTAATGAAGTATCATCCCATTCATTTATTCCCTACTGTTATCAGACAAAGCAGTAGAATAGTATAGGCAACTATTAGGTAATGAATGCATTTGCTAACTATGGCTGAGTACAAATATTTCAGAAGGAAATTTTCTAGAACAAGACTTAACTGAAACCATCAGTCTAATGCTGTTCTCATGAGGTCAACTCAATAAAAAGGCTGGCCTGAGGATGTAATCCGGCATCTTTCAGGGACAAAGAAAGTTTCTCTGCGCCATACACGGTGCGGGGGAAGTTGGATACCAGGCTGTAATTGTCAACCTCAAGGCATCCCAGAGAATCAACATAGTCATACAGCGATTGTATTGTTGTTGTACAATGAAACCTCCTGTCCTTGCGCTCTCCAGTAGGAAACCGTACCAAAACCTGAATGATCCAAAACAAGATTAAGAAACATCAACATCAAAACCTTTCTGATCACTGAGAATCACATAAAAAATTTAAAGCATTAGAGCCTGAGATTATGCAGTTTTTATATTGCCCTCTGTTTCCTCTTTAATCATCTGCATTTAACATGTACATTTTGCTCAACCTTAAGAAACCAGTTAACAAGTACAAGATAATTTTCAGGATTCCATATGCTTTCTGATAGATCCCTTTACTGGACAGCTTCTATTAGCACTATATCTTCTCTGTTCAAATTCTTTCCAGATGAAATCATTCAAGACTGAACTGAACGAGACTCTATAAACAATGGTTTACCTCCATGTATATGTTCTTCGGAGCTAAGACAATCAAATGAATGAAATGAAATTATGTTAAGTCATGAAAGGAGAATCATGAGATAAGACTTGAGCAGTTAAAGTTTCTATCTTACAGGAAAAACCATGCCTTTCACAAAATTTGTAAAATAGACTTATAATATGAGAATAAAGAGCAAGATGATTACTTGAGTAACATCAGGACCCTTCTCAGGTTCAGTTCCCAATGCCAAAAGTTTCTCCTGGCGCATTTTAGCTAATGCAGCTTCTCTTTCAGCAGCTTCAAGGGCAGCTCTTTCCCGGGCCTCTTCTTCCTCCTTTCTTTTACTTTCAGCTTCAGCACCTTCCCTTTCCAGCCGCTCTTGCTCTTCTTTCCTTTGGCGCTCTCTAGCCTAGTAAAGGGCAAAGAGTTCAGCTATGCAAAGCATTTTACCCCCTTGCAAAAATAACTTGAAGAGGGAAAAGGCATATTCGGAACCTAAAGCACTTACCTGATCAGCTTCTAGCGCAGCGCGATACGCAGCATCTTGCTCCTCCCTCAAACGCATATTGTTTCTTCTTTCTTCTGCCTCAACCCTAGCCGTGACAAGCACAGGGGCACTTTCCTCGATCACTCTTTGCAGTACTGTAAGCAATTCTTCAGGAGATTTTGGCCCTTCCACCTGCAGAGCGTTGATCACCGAAATAAGCATATAAGTCACTAAGAAGAAGATCAATGAAGCTGGTTTATTTTTCTACACAAAAAATGGGTCATCAAGACAAGTGTGCTTCCTTCAGAAGTAGTAGCAATTACAGTATGACAGCTCTAGTTTGCTCCCTTTTTTTTTCCTTCTCTTTTTTGTGGGACTCTTATGTGGCGACTGGTGAATATAGCATCATTGGTTTTTAACACTTTAGGCTATAAGCCTAATAACGTTTTCTGCAAAGTTAGGTTTGCAGGTAAAAAGGGCAAAAAAGCACCAATAGAAAGCTGGAGGACAATGTTGTTTTCCAAGTTGACTATCCCACTTCAAACAATAAGTCCACACTTAACCATTCTGATAATATATGTAGCATCAAAAATCATGGAAGGCTTTCAAGTTCACTGTGAATAAATTAGTTGCATTCTCCTATTATCCCCTTAATGTCATTCCTTCGTACAGCCATGTGTCTTGTAATGTTACTTTTTGGAACCTTTACATCTATGGCATATACTCTTGCATTTCTCCTTTACTCTTCTATTATTTTGACAGGAGGTTGTTTAGGTTCATACAACTTATTTTGATACAAGTACCAATTAATTTCAAGTCATTGCGCATACTTAACCAAAAGAATGTAAGATTGTTCATTCAAAAATGAAGAAAGGTAATGTTGTGATTAGAGCCCATTTTAGTAAAAAGAAGATAAATTATTCTCTTGATACATACATTCAGCAGAAGTCACGCTGACATAGAGACAGTCAACTGCTTGGGTAGCGAAAGGGTGAGGAGTACGACAGGGATCAACCATGTTTTCCTCTATTTCATCAAATATTACAATTTCAACAACAAAAAAAGAGGGAAAATGACAATAACCATGTCCTTTTTCCTTATAACCAACAACCATAGGCCTTCGTCATGTTTAAATCACTAAAATAATCCCACTTAAGCCACGAACAAAGGATTAAGATGAACTGTATATTTTTGTTTTATTTTTGGTGTAAAGAAGCACTTGTACAAGATGGAGAATCTCTAGTAGATCTCATAGGCTCCTTGTAGCTGTTACAAGATTGGTTTTTGTCTATTTTGGGTCTTGTAACCTGTTACTCCTTAGCACAATCTTTGTGCTAGTGACAAATCTTATCAATATATTGGAATCTGTTACCATTTCAAAAAAAAAAAAAAAATAATCCCACTTAAGCATTCAACAATCAGATGTGCTCGAACAACTCTAGAAGGAGTACACATAATTCATAAGTCACTTCTAGATACAATTTTAATGATATGACAAAAGTTCAAAATAATAGCATATAAACTTTGTTGGAATTAGATAAGCAGCTGAACTAATATTCCATAATTCTAGTTTAACATCTTGAAACTACCAATACTTCAAGTACAAAAAATCCTCTGATTTTCCTTTTTGTCTGTTTGATTAAAAGTTATTTTTAAAGGAGTGAGAAGACAGATCATATGCCTTATTTGTGGACAACATAAAATTATAAGCCACATATGTCATAGATTGCTATGCTGCTTTAGTTATTAAGAAGACATGTAGCAAATCAAAACACTAATGGAGAATTCCCCATCTAAGCTGATGGGGGTAAACCAATTGTGCAATGTTGTAACTAGAGCAATCTTTGCCTCAATCATATTATGTCACAAGAAACAAAGTTCTCAAATCCAATCAAACATGTCAGCCACCGCTACGTCAAATTTTGGCACGCAGTACCTCACACAGCAATAAACATTGGTTATCCATAAAGTCCAAAAACTATAAAGGGGCAAACTCTTCACCCTTTATCTACAAAACATAATTTACCACTGTAGCCAAACTCTTCACCCTTTATTTAATATCGTGTTCAGTTCAACCAAATATCTCTAGGAGAACAACTGATAATATACAAGCAATTCATGCATTAAATTGTGTGCTTAGTGGCCAATGGAGCTGGAATGAGAAGCATTGGAGACAAGGGATCAATTCCTAACAAAGGAAAAAAATTAAGGTGATTTTTTTTATCTATCTTAGCCTAGCCTTGAGCACAGTTTCCAATTACCTATACTGATGGAAAGATGCATGAACCAAAGGAATAGTCAAGGTGCTAATAAGCAGACACGAACTATTATGACCAAAATATACACACACGCAAAAACCAACCTACACATTATTTCCATAAATGAACATTCAATCCATCATATACTATACCAGTAATTTGCAGTAAACAAAACAATAATATAACTGTCGTGTAAATTTACAATTCTAAATGACTATAAATTGTTGTACCTGCTGAAGCAAAGCGATCCTCTGGTTCGTAGCAGCCATTACAACAGCACAAAACGGAAACCTCGAAGCCTTCAAACTATTACTCATCTTGAAACCTTCACTAGCTCTAATACTTCCACCCCAAGCAACAAAATTCTCAGTAATAAACGCCACCAAATCCTCATTACAAAGCGTTCTCTCACAAAACACCGGCGTATCCTGATGATCCGGCGAATGCAAATAAACAAAAAGTAGCTTATACTCATTTCTAGACCTCTGCAACGCGTCCATAAAACCCTCAGCTACAAAATTCGGCCTTATATTACCAAAATCCCTCTCAAAACTCGCTACAAAATCCATAGCCTCTGATACTGCTGCAGATACTGACACTAAACGGGCCGACGACTCACCATTTCGGACCGAGTTCAGCCCGATCATGCTTAATCCATACGATAGAACTCCACTAGCCGCCCATACACCAAATCCAACAGCTCCTGAAATTAGCCCTAGACTACCGGAGATAATTGAAAACGGCAGCGTAATAATCTTCCAAGCGAGTCCTGGCGGCGGTCCATGAGGCCCACCGACAACAAGTCCGATTTCCACTTCTTCGGGAATTGTACTAGTGGTAGCTTCAGAAGCAGTGACAGTAGCAGAACGGTAATTTTCGGTGGAACTGGAGGTGAAATTTGAGATCGCTAATTCGAGATCCCAATTATGTGCGGAGAGAATTTCAGTGCATAAATCGGAGTCTTCGAGTCCAGTTATTGCTTGAAAATTAGCTACTTTTTCAGCTACATCATCCATTTCTGATTTCCCCTTTTCAATTTCTCACTATATTGGTATAATTTTCAGAAGAAGCTTAGGAAGTTAGGGGTTTTGACTACTACCTGTTCGATGAAATGACAAATGAGAGTATGAGATTGAAAAAGATGGATATAATTGTTTCTATTTTATGGCCAAAATTGCCTCTGGCTATCTTGGAATTACAAATCTGCCATTCCCCATGTTTTTCAGACGGAGCAGAGATATCAATTTACAACTACCAAGAATAATGTGATGTCATTTGCGCACTACTATGACGACTCGGGGCCCCGGAAACTAATACGGCGTCGTTGTAGTTTTGAGCAAATTAGCTATGTGGCGGTCGCCTCAAACAGAAACAAATGGGTCACAAAAAGATTTAAGTAGGTCGCTACTCAATCCAGCAACACTTTAGTGGCGACCAATGAGTCGCCACAAAGCTAATCACCGAAAATCTAATTTCCTTGTAGTGTGAAAATGAGAGATTAATTTTTTTTTTCTCTACACTTTAATATTATACTCTTTTTCCTCATTGATATTAATATACGATAATATCAAAAATTAGTTCTTCACGGCCTATATTTTGATTGTTTAACTTAAGGCCGGCAAATGGCCGGCCCCGGGCCTAAACCGGCCTCGTGGGCCGGTCCTAAGTGGGCGCGGGCTTTGTAGGCCGGGCTTAAACGGTCCCGGATTTCGTGAGCTATTGGTAGGAACCGGACCGGGACCGGGACCTAATGGTCCCGGACTAAGTGGGCCGGTCCCGGGCCTATGTGGGCCCAAGTGGGCCTGGCCTATTTTTTTTAATTTTTTATCTAAGGCAATTTCTTGTAAATTATATAGCTTTTATATATATATATATATATATATATTAAGATGAACTCGGTATCAAACTTGCGAATTAAAGTTCATTTAATACTTCAAATTAAAGTTCAGTGCCTTCAACATAATACTTCAAATTAATCTAACAAACTAAAACATTAAGCATAATACGTCTAATAATTTTAAAATAACACAAATTGTCTCAAATCAACTTAAAATCTTAAATACGAATGTCTGGAGAACGCGCAAGACAACTCTTTATATGCCTCCTTAAACAGCATGTTCCCTCCAACTTTGGACGATGAGTGAAGACTCGATCACAGTTCTTGCACTTTATTATGTAAACTTCTTCATTTTCTTCTACCACATTAAAGTGTTCCCAAACAAATGCGCGCGCTCTAATCACCGCGCATGATTTAACTTGAATTAAGAATATGAGTTTGAGAAATGAGAGATGAGTGAAGACTTGAATACTTCAATTTGAGTTTGAGAAATGAGAGAGATTGATGATCTTGTGAGAAAAATGAAAGAATGAGGGGGTATTTTTAGTTGAAAATAGGATAAAAGTGTAATTATAAAAAGTTTGGGGTTAAAACAAAGTTGGGGGGTTAAATGACTATTTTAGAAATAGCAAACGGCTATTTTTGCAGGCCAATGGCCATTTTTTAAACTTTAGTAACGGCTAAAAAGAATTTGGAATAATTTTTTTTTTAAAAAAAAAAAAAGCCGTTGGGCCCGTTTGGGACCGGTTGAACCGGCCCACTTAGCAGCCGGTCCCACTACTAGAAATCCTGAAAAAAACGACCACAAAAAGCGACCAGTCTTGGTCGCTTATTGGCCAAAAAGCGACCAAACGTGCCTGGTCGATATTAAGCTGGTCCCTTTACCTTAGGGACCAAAGTTGGTCGCTAATTAGCGACCAACTTTGGTCTCTAAAGTCAAAGGACCAAATATTCCGGTAAAGACACTTGCGACCAACTTTTGTCGCTATATTATTTTAATATTATAAATTTTATGGACCAATAGTTGGTCTCATTTGTGTAAATTTTATTTTTTTTTATTTATTGTTAATTATAAAGTAGCGACCAACTTTGGTCTGCATACGAAATATTATATTTTAAAATCTGGAAAATTGCAACCAAAGTTGGTCGCTATATCTATAAATTTTTTAATTATTTTTTTAAAATAAGCGACCAAAGTTGGTCGCTAAATACATGAATTAATTTTTTTATTTATTAATAAGCGACCAACACTGGTCGCCATATTTCAAGAAATTGTTAATTTTCTGGTAAATAGCGACCATCTTGGTCGCTTTTTGGGAAATCTGAGTTAAATAGCGACCAACCTTGGTCACTATTTTTTCACAGAAATTATTTTTTTTTAAATAGAAAGCGACCAAATAGCGACCAAAGTTGGTCGCTTTTCTTGGTATATTGCTGGCAGGAACTGGCCTCTTTTGGCAGCTACACACCTGCCAGCTTACAAAATTCCTATAGGCAAATATGCCAACAACAGCAACAACAGCAACACAACAACAACAATAACAACAATTATAATGAACAAAGTATAAGTTCAATAGACCTTTATACTTTAAGTTAATTAGCAAACTAATAGTTAAATGTTATTACAGAACATATCGAAAACCAATTGTATTTGTCTAAGCATAAACTAATAAGTTCAAAGATTGTTCTCTACATCATTATCATCACCGTCTGATGAACTTTCTTCACCATGACGGTATCTAGAATGGGCTATTTTGTCGATGATGGAAAAATGACCACGGGAGGACGGGAGGAATGAGCACGGGGAAGGCGAGCCTCTGGCGATGACTCACGAGACCGGGGTTGGAAATTGCCAGAAGCTAGGAGAGTTTTAATCTGCTCTTTGCATGCCCTTGCATGCCAAAGTACTGCATATCTCTAAGCCTTTCTCTCTCCTTAGCGGCTTCTAGCTCGGATGTGAGCTTTGCCACAGTCTCCCGCATAGAGGCAGAGGCTCTCCCCCATCAAGTTGCTCGGCTTGGGAGGAAGTCCCTATTCTTGGCATTCCATACTTATAGCGATGGAATTCTCTTATTAGGAAGCCCGTATACCTTCCCCTTTTGGACGCCAGCAGCCTGCGTCCACATTCTCTCAGCATCCTCGTCCGATAGTTGGATTGGCGCGCCGGACTCATTAGGTGGCTGACTGCGTATGAATTGCTCCACTTCACTCTGTGAAGCGACTATATAGAAAAATAATATGTGAATTACTATTTCCAAATTTATATAAAAGTAAATCAAAATTCTTAATGAAAGCGAAACTTACATGTACAGTCGAGGCTCGGCCCCTCGACCCACCTTTCTTGGTCCGTCTCTTTCTTCTTCTTCACAAATATGAGTTCCTCCTTTGAAGAGTTCATCTTGGTTTCATGCGGACTGCCCCAACTTTTTTTCCTGAAAAACTCATAAATTTTAGCTTGAATAAACAGAGATACATATACTAAGAAAATTAAAATAAATTAAGCAATTACGTACCATTCTTCATTTTAATCGTCCTAGGCTGACGCACCTCCAGTGTGCAAGGATCCTCCCTTCTCAGATGCCCGGGCTTTCTTTCCTTTTTCGCTCTTCTCTAAGAACTCTGCTGTAAGCCATTGCCTTTGCAAATCATCCCATAAATCCTGAAGCATCCAGCCAGGCTTCTGGTTCAACTGCCTAGCTTTGGAGAAACAATGGGACAACCACTTTCGAGCTTTGAGATGGAAGTTTGCAGCCACTTCCGCGCTATAGCGGTGTTCCCATACACACTTGCTCTGTATTTCAAAAGTCAAGTATTATATGAAAATATCATAAAAGCTATATTCGATATATTATACTTAGCTTTTATTAGCTAATAATTATTCAAAAGTTAAGTGCATTAACTGCTTATAATATAATATTAGCTAAAAGCTAATAAATGATTATACTGCTTAAAAGAATATTTATACCTTAAATTGATTGAAGATTGCCTCCTTGAGAGCGAATGGGAATTCACTCCAAGTCGCATAAGGACCATCATAAAGCTTTCTGGTGGCTTTGGTGATGATCCTTGTAGTAACATTACTAGGGATGAACCTGCAATTTTATTAAAAAAAATACATTAATATCTTAGTAAAACTGTACTAAACAAAAAAAGTTAAAATAACAAATAACTCTTACTCGTCACCCTCAGGGACTATGATGATCCTGCCATATTCATCATAATGCACCTCCTCGTCATTAGCAGCATCATTGTCCGAAGCATGTACATCGGAGGCATGTGTGGAAGGTGTAGGGGGTCAGAGCTAGTATCTCGCAGGCGAAGGCCTGCAATAGATGGAGTCCCAGATAAAGATGGCTGCGAGCCCTGGGACTGCGAGCCCTGTGAGTGCGACACAGCTGTATGGGCCGCAAGTGGATGAGACACGGATAGCTGTGACCCGGGTGGCTGTGACACGGATGGCTGTTATCCATGTGGATATGACATGGATCGATGCGATCCATGAGCTGCTGATGGATGCGATCTATGTGGATGTGAGACAGGTGGACTGTATGTAGGTCGTACAGTCCCATGGCCCTGTGAAGAAAGACCTGGCGCCTGCACGAAGGTGTAGGGCTGGACATGCGCTGGCAGCTCAGAATAGCCCTGGGGTGGAGGCGCAGGCACAGGCATAGGCACAGGCATCTGTGAAGAGGCAGGAATGGATTGACTAGTACCTTCTACCCTCTTCTTTTGTTTCCTAGGCTTTTCTCTACCCCGAGAACCAGTAGGATCACTGTTACCTCGACCCTTGCCTGACATCTGCATGACATAATACAAAGTTAGATTGAAACATATAAAGAAACTAGCTATAACATGAGTTATTAAAGAAACCAACTTTTTAAAGCTGATCGACATATAGTTCCTCGTCCGAGAATTCTTCTTCCTCACTAGTTTGAGCTTCATCAGTTGATTCTCCTTCCTCGTTTTCTATAATTCTTGCTTCATCCATATCAACTTCTTCCAATATGTGTTCAGGATGTTCCAAATCATTTTCTAAAGGCGAAATACATAAACAGCCCCTTCAAGTTGTCCTCAACGACCAGCTGAACACCTCAAGTGAGCCTATTTTCAATTAGACCCTTTATTTATTCACAATAGAAGATCAACTAAACACCCGACCATGTCAGCCCCCATTGCGTGAAATCCACTCTCTGGGATGCGACTTGCCAACCTAAAATTAGGTTTTTTCTTTTTTTTTTACTAAAATAATGTGGACCCCACTTAATTTTCATACCCCCTTCTCCTCCAATTCTCTCCTCCACCATTCAACACCCTCCTCTAACCCTAAATCACCTTTGCCTCCATTACAAAAGAACAAACTTACCAAATATATCATCACATCAA